TATCAATTTATAATAAATTGGATATAAGAATATATTTTTTGGTTAATACCGATTGGGATTGTAAAGTAGGTGCCTTTGAAGATTGAGGGCAGTGCTATGAAAGTCTCGAAATGGGTGCTAATGAAAGAGGTGTTTTGCAAAGTTTTCAGCTCTTCAATTCTAATATTTGGTTAATTGATGAAAAATTTATCTTTCATAAATATTTTAATTTTGACGTAGACGGTCTGTTGATGACCGGATTAGGAAAGAGATTAATTGAAGTGCGCGTAAATTAGTTTGAACAATCTTACCCGTATTTTTTTTTTTTTTTTGCTATTGAAAAAAAGTGGTAGGGGCAAAAGAAAACGTCCAAAGACTACTCCGACAAACCTTCACTAGCAGGATCACGAGACCATTAACCGCACATGTTACTTCTCTCGAAAATGAACCCAATATAAATTCTAAAACTCAAACAATAAAAAAAGTACAAAGCTTTCGAGTCACCTTCCAGACTTTAAGGGTTCTTTTTGACAAACAGGTATACAAAAGTGGTATGAACTGTGGTTATCTCAATCCAGCTTTATTGCTTTATAGTGACTTGTCTGGAGAAAAGATGTCTGTGGTTACAAACCATTGCCCAGTCCCAAACCTATCCATTTCAACTGTCTGATGAATTGCCTCCTGCATGTGGCTAGGAATATACCATCCAAGAGGCCAAGCTTCCAAAAGGACCTTGTATTTTGTACCATTCTGGTGGTAGATGTGAAGGAAAAAATTTAGATATTTATATTTAGGATTTGACTAAGGGATCAAGTCAAAAAATATTATTAGTATTATACTTCAATTTATCATATTTGTAATTACTTTTATCATAATTATGGGTTTTTTTTATCATAATTATGGGTTTTTTTTTTATCATTGTTGTAGTACTCCAAAAATTAATAAAAATAGTTATCACAATAATGATAAAAATATTCATAAATATAATAAAAATATCAACAAATGTGTTAATTTTTTTTTATACCAAAAAAAAATGATAAAAATAATTACCACAACAGTGGTAAATCACCCATAGAAGTGGTCAATTTTTTGGTTATAAAATAATCCATAAAAATTATAAAAAACACCCATTAAAATAATAAAAACTAGAGGTACGGTACTAAAATTATTTCTTCGGATATTGAATTGTCCATTTTCAAATTTGCTTCTTTAACATAGAATTTTCCAGAACGAAACAACGGTTTAAATCATCACAATATACTAAAGAAGTGTCAATGGAAAATGGCGTCCCAATTCATCCCCCCACTAGGGTGCTTGTCCGGAGACAGATCCAGGATTTATGTTTAAGGAGAAGGCTGCGGTACATCCAAGGGTATTTTTGGTACCATTCCAAAAATTTCAAATTACAATATAAATGGTATGTTTACTAAATTTATGATATATCTACACCGATTGGTAGACAAGACAAGACATTTATACCAAAAAAAAATGATAAAAATAATTACCACAACAGTGGTAAATCACCCATAGAAGTGGTCAATTTTTTGGTTATAAAATAATTCATAAAAATTATAAAAACACCCATTAAAATAATAAAAACTAGAGGTACGGTACTAAAATTATTTCTTCGGATATTGAATTGTCCATTTTCAAATTTGCTTCTTTAACATAGAATTTTCCAGAACGAAACAACGGTTTAAATCATCACAATATACTAAAGAATTGTCAATGGAAAATGGCATCCCAATTCATCCCCCCACTAGGGTGCTTGTCCGGAGACAGATCCAGGATTTATGTTTAAGGAGAAGGCTGCGGTACATCCAAGGGTATTTTTGGTACCATTCCGAAAATTTTAAATTACAATATAAATGGTATGTTTACTAAATTTATGATATATCTACACCGATTGGTAGACAAGACAAGACATTGAAATGACAAGACAAGAAAAAACATATTTTTAAGCTGTCATTAAGTCAATTGAGGGTAAAATTATAACATTAGTGGAAAGTTTACGACTATAATGAACAAAATTACAACATTAGTGAAAGTTTTACAACAGTAGTGAATAAAATTACAAAAATTTGTGGGAATATTTATCAAATTTATGAGAATATTTACAACTTCAGTAGTATGTTTACCAAATTTGTGAAAATCTTTACAACTTCAATGGATTCAAATATTTACTATTTCATGGGGAGATTTGATCGATCGTGGGGATATTTGATCGATCATGGGGAGATTTGATCGATACACACTTGTGTGTGCTTAATTTACCAAATTTGTGGGAATATTTACAACTTAAGTGATATATTTACCAAATTTGTGGGAATATTTATACTTTTCAATGGTATGTTTACCAAATTTATGAAAATCTTTATAACTTCAATGAATTCAAATATTTATAACATCATAGGGAGATTTGATCGATCACAAACTTACTATTTTTCAAAAAAATTTAGGGAAGACTACTTCAACCTTGCGATAAATCATAAGATCTTAGGATAGATCGCAAATATTTTGGAGATAAAAAAAAAATAATTTCAATATATTTTGAATTATAATTTTGATATATTCTAAAAAATAATAATAATTGCCACTTTTATTTACTACTTTTATGGGAATATTTATAATTTGAATGAATTTTTTATGGGAATAATTACAACCTCAGTAGTATATGTTATTAAATTTATTTGTTTAATTGATCTATCAAAAACATGTTTAATAAAAATTCAATTTTAATTTTTTTTAAAAATTTATCCAATTTGTTTTTAAAAAAAATTAAAATTGAATTTTTATTAAACATATTTTAAACTTGAATTTGGAAAAATCGATCAAATTCTTATGATAGATCATAAACATTCATAAAATTTTTCCCACTATTGTTGTAAACTTTTCACTAATATTGTAATTTGTACACTATTGTGGTAATTTTTTCACTACTTTTATAAATTTTTCATTAATGTTGTAACAGAACAACCATAAAGAGAGAGACAGAAAGTCCATGATCAATTAAACATATATTTGATCGATCATGGACTAATAATGAATCCATTGAAGTTGTAAAGATTTTCACAAATTTGTTAAACATACCACTGAAGTTGTAAATATTCTTACAAATTTAGTAAATATATCACTGAAGTTGTAAATATTCTCACCAAATTTGTGGTGTAGAAAGAGAGACAAAAAGTCCATGATCGATCAAACATATATTTGATCGATCATGGATTAGTAATGAATCAATTGAAGTTGTAAAGATTATCACAATTTGATAAACATATCATTGAAGTTGTAAATATTCCCACAAATTTGATAAATGTTCCCACAAATTTTATAATTTTATTCACTACTGTTATAAAATTTTCACTAATGTTGTAATTTTATTTACCATAGTCGTAAACTTTCCACTAATATTGTAATTTTGCCCTCAATTAACTTAATGGCGGCAAGAGAGAGAGACAGAAAGTCCATGATCGATCAAACATATATTTGATCGATCATGGACTAGTAATGAATCCATTGAAGTTGTAAAAATTTTCACAAATTTGGTAAACAAATTTGAAGTTCAAAATCTTTACAATTTCAATGGATTCATTACTAATTCATGATCGATCAAATATATGTTTGAGCAATTTTTCAAAATTCAATTTTAAATATGTTTAATGAAAATTCAATTTTAAATTTAAAAAAAAATTGGATAAAATTTAAAAAAAAATAAAAATTAAATTTTTATTAAACATATTTTTGATAGATCAATTAAACAAATAAATTTGGTAACACATACCACTGAGGTTGTAATTATTCTCATGAAGAATTCATTCAAATTATAAATATTTCTATAAAAGTGGTAAATAAAAGTGGCAATTATTTTTATTTTTTAGAATATATCAAAATTATTATTCAAAATATATCGAAATTATTTTTTTTTTATCTCCAAAATATTTGCAATCTATTCTAAGATTTTGTGATCTATCGCAAGGTTGAAATAGTCTCTCCAATCTATTCTAAGATCTTGTCAATTTAAGGAAAATTGATGAACATGTTGAGTCTGTAGTTTGACATACTAGTTGATTTTACACTGTTTGTGATCTTTTCATTCATGAGCACATATCCATCTATTTTGTTAGTTATTATTTAGAGAATTTATTTGGTAAAATGCTTATGGGAGATATCATTGAAACTTTAAAAAACTTATTTAAACGTCATTCAAAGCGAATGGAGGTAGTCATATAAGTTTGGGGGAAACATAGTAATTTTGCATAGGAATATAGTAATTTAATTGAGATAGATAATTTTATTTAACTATCGGAAGAGGTTTGATAAATAACTTTGAGTTCTCAGTTAACAACTTATTTTGATCAATTAACTGAAAAGAGAGTTAGAGGGATTTATACGGAGCATTAGGGGAAGTTGTAATCTTAATTTCTTTTCTCTAGTAAATTCAACCCTTGACTGTTAAGTATAGATTTAGTTTTAATTAGTAATTCCATAACTTAATTTCAATTGTTTAAATAAAATTGAATTGATATAAAGTTAGTACTTGAAATTTATTACTAATAATTCTCTGTGAGAATGATACTCTACTTATCACTTTATTGCTAGTTGATCGTGTATACTTGCGTGTAAATTGTCAATACCAAATTCGGACAGCATCCCTTCACACAATTCTATGGTCGATCTTAAAAAAGGGTCTGGTAGCATCTATTCAGTATTAGAATAAAAGCTATCTTCTTTCTGATGGGAAAATTGATGATCTATATATGACAGCACAACTGCCCATTTACTAATAATTTAAAGGCAAGTATCATTATCTCGGATGAGAAGTCAATCTAATATTATTCTATTGTGATCTAAATGTTATGAACTTGGATAACTGAAATTACCTCTATGTATACGAGGATAAAGTCGTGTATATTTGATCCTCCTCAAGCCCCCACAACAAAGGGTTATCTTTTATTCAACAAAATCAAAAAAAAAATAAAATTAATCAATTAGAAACACACAATAATATGCAAAACCCCAGTGCGACCATACCAACAGTAATATACCTGATCTCATCAGAATTCTGAAGTTAAGCAAGCTTGGACGAGAATATTACTAAAATAGATGATCCCCCAAGAAGTCTACGTGTTGCACCCCTTTAAAAAAAAAAGAAAAATATATGCCAAGCACAACAAATATGTCTTCCTCATGGAGGTCACAAGTGACCTAGACTGGACACACAAGACTATTAAGATGACTAACCATTCCAATAAATGATGCTTCTTTTGTCAAACTAATATATACATAATTTCTTTCAACAGGCCAATAAAATGAAAAATAATTGCAGTTAAGGTCATTGTAATAGGGATGTACAAGATAGGGGAATAATTATAAGGGGTAGCAATGGACCATGTAATAGTGACAGTAGCTTAAAGAAATGTTATCTTCATTGTCAATGACACTTGGTTCAATTATTTCTCAAAACTGGAAATTTCTAATTGAATAAGGAATGTCGAAGTACACAAACTACAGCAACTGAAAAATAACAACAAAAAGGAGAGGAAAATACAGTGCTTACTAGTACTTGTCTTCTACAAACTGCATCATGTTGCTCTACTGCAGGTCGAGTTCCACTCATTGAGTGAAGATCCAGCCGGAGTCGGAAAAACAGGATAGAACTCAATATCACTCTCTTCTTGTACAGCATTAACTTAATTTTAGAACATATAGGATATGAAACAGTAATTGGAATAACATTATCTGGGAGAACCGAAGCAACACCGATGATTGTGATCAAAATCTATCTCTGCTCTCATGGAACGTTCATTACTTGAATGGATTGCAACATGTCGGAGACTGCAATGACCAGATCACCTGATTTGATCATTCCCCTGGCCTTAAGCAAGTAAAAAGTTTTATTGAGGTTGCTTTCCATATCATCAGAGAAGCTCAGGCGGAAGGGTATCAGACCCCACTGAAGGTTCAGACGTCTACGTACTGACGTCGTGGTTGTAAAAGCAAAAATTGGGCAATCGGGTCGGCAACGGGATAGGAGAGATGCCATATGCCCATCCTTTGTGTAGACAAAGAGAGCGTCCACCTCTAAATTGTTAGCTGCAAAATCAAAACCCAAATTGGCCCCTATAGCAACAAGAAGCCAATTGAACATCTCTAAATTCCCCCCCCCCCAACAAAAAGAAAAAAAAACCCAACACCAGACAAAAAAAAAGAAAAGAAAAATATATTTGTTTGTCATTGAAGTCATGTAGGGGGAGCTTAAATAAGGGACTGAACCTGAATTACCAAACTTCATTGACAAACTAATAACAATGTCTTACCCATTTTTGCAGCAGAGTTGCAAATCTCTTCTGAAATACTGTCTGTAAATGAAGATGCTATGTCCGGGAGTTCCATAACTTCATGGCGTTTCTCTTCCCTCCACCACTTCTCAATTCTCAAACTTACACTTCTCAAAACAGTTAATGCCTTCTCAGGAAACTGGCCCATGGCTGATTCACCAGAAAGCATTAAAGCATCAGCTCGTTGTCTAACTGCTTCAGAAACATCAGCAACTTCAGCTCTTGTAGGCGTAGGATATTCAATCATAGATTCAAGCAGCTGAGAGGCAACAATAACTGGCTTATTTAGTTGCCTGCAAAGCTGAACAATCTTTTGCTGTGCAGACGGGACCTGTTCCAATGGGATCTGAGCACCCAGATCTCCTCTTGCTACCATGGCTCCATCTGATGCTTGAATGATCTCCTCCAAATTCTTCAATGAGTCGATACTCTCTATCTTTGCAATCACAGCAACATCTCTGCATCATAACAATCAAAGTACAATTGGATTACAACATACTTGACAAAAGGCAATTCAAACATAAGTTGTAAAGGACAAGGTTGCAATTCCAAAGAAGATGGATTTATCTCATCTTAAGTTTTTGACGGTTTCTCAGAAGGGCATTGGAACTACAGTATACAGAAACAAAAGACAATATTTTCAGTAACTCAACCTCGTGCAGTCTAATATGTTAGCCAACAATAAGAAAGTCTTCAACAACCTCTAGCTCAACTCCTTCAAATATTGAAAGAACGCGTGAGAAAACAATGTTCAATTCTTTGTAAAAGAAGCTCTTGTTTCACACCACCGTAAGGGTGCATTCGTCCCCCAAAACCAGGGAAAATTTAAAGTACAAACAAAAGGGAAAAAAGTAAGAAAGGAGGACAAGTAAAAAAAAATGGCCTTTTGTTTTTTGGGAGGGGAGAGGAACCAAATAATTGAACAAAAATGTATGAACCAAAGATAATACATTTATTTCCAGAAAAAAAAAAAACTTACCCATCACGAGCCCGTGCTTTAATGTAGCTTTTGAGATGAGTAATCACTTCAGCAGACTTGACAAATGATATTGCAATGAAATCAACACCTTCTGCAATCCCAAAATCAATGTCCAGCCAATCCTGATAATACAAAATGTTTAAGAGTCAGAACAGATGATCCTAATAAATTGCTCCAACCCATTGCAGCTTCCAATAAATACAAAATAACCAGCTTGATGCCTTGCACCAACCAGTGCTGCATACGTTGAGATTGTTTCAAGTCTACAAGAAACCAGTGGTGTATATTGTTGGAGCTGTGAAATAGAGATTTGAGCAAAAAATAACAGCTCAATCACTGCTCTTGTATAAATATTTCTCCCCAAAGTTGTTAACGCATAAAATTGGTAGGATAAGCAGATCTTTATACAGACCACAATTTCAATTGCAAGAATACTTGGTATTAAGAGATGTACCCACTTCCAAATCCAAAATCCAAGCTCACTATAGAGACATTTTCAACTATACATACAATTCTACTTGAATTGAACATTTCCAAATATTAAATATTTTCACATATAGGGCAAGAGCAAATTTTCAAGGGAAAGCTTTACCCTTCAGCCAAGTAAATCTGTTTTTAAAGGGACTGCTGAGAGAAGGAAAAGAGGCACTAACCTTGGAGGAAATTGTAGGGAGCATGGCATTACGTTCCCGTACCAAGCTCCCATTGCGCCAAAAAGTCAGATTAGCCCGAGGTAACATAAGTCCGGGATCAGTACACCGACATTTGACATCTGGACCAATTTTTTCAATTACCTCAAACCTCACCATTCCACCATCAACAAGAAGTTCATCCCCAACATGCACATCTGTTGGAGTAAAATTCAGCCAATGTCGGGTGAACATCAAAGATTTTCCCGACATATATGTACCAAAACAGGCAAAAGAATATGTCATTATAAAAAAAAATAATAATGGCAACTTTATGAAATAAAAGGGAAAGATTATGACCTTCAGCAAAGCCATCGTAGTTCACATTGATGGTGCGTTCTGGACGAGGAGAATCATAAGCTCGAACGCTAAATGTCCATATCTCACCATCCTGTATGAGAAAAACAGCTGATTGCAATAAGCTTATGATGGTGAATGGCGAACTGCCCCAATACTTAATACATGCCACAGAAATATATGTATTGATCTCAACATAAAACTCATTCAGACCTCGCAGAAGAATCTCAACAGAAGATGTTTCTAGAGGGAAGTTAAAAGGTTACAACAATTCAGTCCAAGTGAATAATCATAACAATAAAACAAGAGTTACAACTTCCATTATACCACGCATTGGACACCTCTTCATAAGTTTGTCCAGATAAATAAACGAGAGGTTATGAGCTATTACTCATATATAGGACGAAGAAGCCAGTGAAAAAATCCACAGCACTTACTCTTACGTAGATACCCTTACCATCCCACAGGTCATGTGACCTGAAACGGGATGGGTTTGCGATTTAGATCGCTTAAATTCTTGATCCCAAATTGTAACTCAAACCTGAGAATAAAGATTAGTCAACTATGTGTAGATGAATGTATAATTATATATAATCTCATAATAGAGAAAGCAATCCTATGAAAAACAAACCACGACCCAAAACAACATACCAACTAACTCTACCACTATTGCACCGCATATCGGAAGATATATCGTACCGTCTGTACCTATACCACATACTAAATCAACCCACAATATAAGTAACATTGCTTCTACACACCATTATCATCCATATAGCAGAAATACAAAACCATAATCAATAGAATCCGTAAGGGATGTTTTCTTAAGAATGTTTATTTTTTGGAAAAATTTCAGTCACACCGCTTCTAGTTTACCATATCTTAAAGGACACTTCCTCCATTTTCTGAATCTTTACTGACACACCTGTCAGATTAAAGGTGTTAACTAGAATGCAATTTTACTAAAATGCTCATAATATATTTTAGAAAAAACTTCATTCACCACCCCTCTAAACAGATATATCTTCAATGAGACTCCCTCTGTTTTTTAAATTTTTTTACCTATTAAAATTCGATTCAAGCTAAATTAAAATTTATTTTTACGTATTAAAATTCAAGTCAATTAAAATTATATTTTTTCACGTATTAAAATTTGAGTCAATTAAAATTCTATTCGAACAGATTAAAAATCATTTTTAATCAACTCGAATCAAATTTTAATCAACTTGAATTAAATTTTAATCGGCCTGAATTTTGATACATAAAAAAATATATTTTAATCGACTTAAATTTTAATACGTAAAAAATAAATTTAATCAATTTGAACCGAATTTTGATTGACACAAATTTTAATAAATAAAAAAATATAAATTTTAATCGACTCAAAGCGAATTTTGATTGGCGCTAACAATTCAGATAGAGCTCAAATAGGCTCGAATTTTAAGACGTAAAAAAATAAAATTTAATCAATTCAAATCAAATTTTAATCGGCTCAAATTTTAACATGTAGAAAAGCGAATTTTAATCGAATTTTATATAGAGAGATTATTTGGAATTTATGTAGGGGCAATTTTGATATTTTAAATAAATTCTTTTTTTTAAAAACGGTGGTTTAATGACAAGGGGTGTCGGTACTACTTAAATATAAATTAACAAAGGTGTCAATGATATTTTAATTAATAGAGAGAGTGTCCTTAAAGATATAATAAACTACAAAGGGTGTCTGAAATTTGCCCGTATTTTTTTTTAATATCTGAAATATTTGTATACGAGAGGACTAAATAAAAAAGGTGGTGAAATAACACAATTTTCATTCTACCTATAACCATGTCATAAACATATAAGCAACCAAAAAAGCTTACTAATTTAGAATTAAAATTTTTATCCTCACCTAATGAATGTCTGAAATGGCGAGGATCACAACCCTTTCCGTACATGGATATTTGATAGATGATTTTTATGCATAAATACTTGATTCAACCTGCATTGACCTAGTTTTATTCAATTTGATAACAGTAAAGTGGAACTTAATTCTTGGGGATGGATTTGTCTTTAATGTTAGGATGACTCTCAAGAAATTGTCACCATTAATATCTTAGCAGCCCATGGGGAAAGAACTTCATTAGAGGAGCCATTAGAGTTTATATATCACAACCGTAATTCATTTTGTTATCGTATAAAGCATAAACCACAAGAGAGACCATGCAATCATCAGCAGCTAAAGAGAAATTTCTTTGGAGAAAATGCTAAATATACCCAAACATCCTGCTGCACTTCTACACGAGCTCACATGGCACCAAACTTGGCAAATTCAAGTCAAGACATTAAGAAATAGATGTCAGCAAAATGACTTCTCTAGCCGAATATCACTCTGAATCAATTGCCAAAGAAAGAAGTTTTTCAGCAACTCCACAATTCCCTCATCAAGTCTATGGCCACCTTTTCACTAGGATTTCAAATAGGGAAAATTACCAACGCGTATTATTTTTCCCCAAAAAAATTTATTACATTGTCATTTTGTTTTATATAAATGCAGTCCTACTCTTGATATTTTATTTCAATTAAGTCTCAAATTCCATTATATTCCAATTTTATCATTAACATTTAGTTACCAAAACCCTTTCATTCTTTTGCATTCTTAAAATCAATTAACAAGACAAAAATTACTTACTTACAAATTAACATCAAAAACCTATAAAAAAAACTCAGAAAACATAAACTTCATCATAAGACCCAAAAAAAGCTCACATTTTCTTATTTTCTTATCTCATTAGGGGTTAAAAAACTACATCGATAATATTTATCAATTAATTTCATTTTAATGTCGTTATCAATTCAAACACAACAATTAAAATAAATCCCTAACTTAATCATTTTAAATCTAATATAAACTAATAGAATATAGTTTTGGTAAGAATTAGCTTAAATTAATATTGACGTAGAATCTGCAATATTTTATTAATTGATTCTAAGAATGCAAAGAATGAAAGTGTTTTGGTAACAAAAAAGTAAGGATAAAATTGAAATATAATGAAATTAGGACTTAATTAAAATAAAATATTAAAAATAGGACTTCATTGATACAAAACAAAAATGATAAGACTTATTAAATATTTGTAGGAAAAAGTAATACTTATTTGTAATTTCCCCTTTCAAATATGGTTGGCAACTTCGAAGTAAACCCATATTTTTATGCCCAAGAAATAACTTCCCTTAAAACTCGAAAATATCACTAACATGTTCTTGAAGAGGTTTCCAGACATAAACTTGATTACTCCAACTTTATCTATTTGTTTTCCTCTACACTCCACCCTTTTAAAGTGCCTAATTCTTCCAGATCCCAAAACAATCAATTTCTAACTTGTATGAAATTAGCTTCAACTCCTTTTGACTTTGATTTTTTAAATTTGAGTTGAACTTTTGTTAGCAATCGTACAGTGATTTTAGCCTTTGTGCACATAGTTATTAATAGCGTACGATACGTAACGATACACTTGAAAAACGATACGTATCGTGTCTCTGTATCGTTTTTGCACCATATCATACGATACACGATATGATACGTACCGTACAGTACAATGCATATGATACATGACAATTTTTTTATTTTTTTTTTTTTTGGAGCTGAAATGACATCATTTTACCCTGACTTATTTTTAAATCACTAACCAGTGAAACATTGTTTTAGTGGTTGTGGTTTAAAAAATAAAATAAAGTATGTTGTTAACGTTATTTAATTGAGTTCAAAATTCTTGATTAATATTAAAGTTGTTCAAGCAGTTGATGTTAGAAGTTTGAATTAGAGGTCTTTGCATTTTGATATTACTGAACTATGTTAGAAACTTGAATAGTTTGTAGAATATTAATGAAATGTTATATTATTATGAGTCTATGTTTTTTCACAATATATATATATATATATATATATATATATATATATTATTAATAATTATTTAAAAATTAAATTGTGCGTATCTTACGATACAAAATACTATATGAGACACTATTTTTTAAAAATTATATGTCTTTTGATACACGATTTGACAACTATGTTTGTGCATATAATTGAATACTGTGTTATCCATAAATTCAAATCAAAGCAACTATATTTATCCCTTTGTTTTTGAGTACATTCATGTCTATACATTGCGCTAATTTAGAGACTTTATTAATTCTAATTAGTGACTGAGAGGGAAGTGTTGACCCAAGATAGCATTTTCAGTTGGAGTGGGGTTGGGGGGAGAGTGTGTCAAAAGATGAGTGTAGTAGTCTTGTTGCCAAGAAAGGTGGAAGAGTTAACTTCAGAGAAAAGTTTCAAAGATAGGTTTCCACAAGACTCCCTTTTTCTTGGTTCAGCTTTGACTTGTAAGTTGTAACGGGACATACCATGGCACAGCCACATAGTACAGGTTTAAAGACATCAGTATCTCAAATGTTTGCCATGCAAATACAAAAATAGCTTTAAAGTCAAACCGCAAAACCATAGAACAGGGAGTCCAAGAATGTCAAGCCCTTGTTCGAGTAAAATTCCATTAGCAGTGATGGTCATTTTGAACGGTGGACCAGATACAAAATGTCATTAAGTTAATATTGTTTCTTTCGTGCTATAAGACGTAACAACAAATTTACACATCCTATCCTATAAATATTCGCGGTTGGAAAAGAAAGAAAGACTTCATTATCAGGGATTCGATTGCTCTCTTTTCGTGTGCATTTTCAAATTCTATTTAACTATCTTCTATACAATACTTTAGGAGAACGCTAAGGCATGGACAAAACAAAATCAGTATTGTACCCTTATATATAACTTTCTTAAAGTTTTTGTATAGTTTTTTGGAATTATTAATATTTTTTTTGGAATTTTTTTATCGATTTTAAAATTTTAGGATTGATCTTAACATTTTAAGATTGATCAAAAAATTATTGGGATCGATCCAAACATTAATTATACTAGAGTAACGTGACCCTACAAGTTATAATTTATTTAGAATTGATCTTAATATTTTCGAATAAATCCTAATTTTTTAATTGTAATTATACTCCACAAATTTGTATCTTAACCTCCAAAAATTATAAACTTCAGTTCCGTTATTCCTTCAGTACCAAAGTCAAATCCCAATGCTACGACTATATTGGTAGACTTGCATGGCATCTACCATAATCACTGACTCATGTGCTTGGACTTCCTTAGCATCTGTTATGGTTGAATGTTTTTTTGCACTTTTAATATGTTTGACAACACATGTTCACCAAACATTAAAGATTTTGCAAAGTCTTTTCATCCTATCAAGAAGTTACACCAAACATACATATAGGCACCCATCACATGGGCTGCTACAATCACCGAAGAAATATTACCGAAGTAGTCCCGCTCAAAGTAAAAGGACACCTTCAGATAATCAGAATCAACTATTTTCCCATTACTACATTTTTTAGACCAATAAAAAGCATATTCGTATAAAGTACGTTAGTATCCTCCATAGAAGCCAACAAAAATTCTACCCAACACGACATTAAAATCCATCAAAATATCACAACAAAATCAAAAATCAGGCAATGAAATATCAAATCTAATCAGCTCCTCTCTGATCCTAACTTCAGCAAAGCACTCAATCCAACAAATCTAAAGAATTCTGACACTTGATAAACAAGAAAAATGACAATTTTGCAAATAATCGACTAATTTTGCAGAAAAACCATAATCATACGCATAATTAAAGTGCAATAAACGAGATTTTCAAATCAATTATACCTCGGCTTTGTCGGACGGAGCGCCACCAAGGTCTCCCATGTGAATCTCAGACCCTTCAGTGTCCATCATAATGGCCACAGCATAGCCTTTCTCCTCATTCAATCTTCGGACCCTTTCGATCATTGTCTGATGCCACTCGCGCGTGCCGTGGCACATGTTGATCCGAGCCACGTTCATCCCTCCCACCGCCAAAGCCTCCAATTGCTCGAAGCCGCACGTTGCAGGCCCTATAGTGCACACCAGCTTCGTTCTCCGAGTGCTTCGAAACCCGTTCTCTTTTAACTCTGCTTCCGTAACAGTATCCACCTCAATTGAACTCGAATCAGCGGATGCGAGCGTAACGTAGTCTTGCTTCGCACAAGATAAACTTCCTCCGGTCAAGCCGTTATCGGAAACTAAGACCGGAGCCAATGAATCGGAATCTAGATCCGAAACTGAGGCTCTGATTGGTGTCCGTACGGAAAATTTTACCGGAAATGGGGAAATAGAAGTGAAAAGTGAGGGTTTTGAGTGAAGTTGTTGTGAAATTGCGAAATTTGGGGAACGGGAAGAAGAAATGAATAAATTGAGAGATTGAGACATCTTGTGAGGTGGGTGTTGCGCTTTCAGCTGGTGGTCGGAAAATGACGTCCGATGTGCGAAAACCAGCTAGATTTATGTGTGAAACCGATTGTGTTCGTGTGTGTAGATAGATATATATATATATATATATATACAGAGAGAGAGAGAGAGAGAGAGAGAGAGAGAGAGAGAGAGAGAGAGAGAGAGAGAGAGAGAGAGAGAGAGAGAGCGTTTTGAGGGCGGAGAAAGCAAAGTGAGAGGAGTTGGAGCTTCGAGTTTGTCGTCTGAGAGTTAGTAGCTGTTGATATAGAGACAAATACTTATGATGGAGAGTTACGATCTGATGAGGTTGAGCTTAGTGAGCTCAAACACGAGTTTGAATGTATTGTCTCTCACTTCTGTACATTAGAAATACTTGAAATATATACCTACATACATACGGTATCAAAATATAATATGACTCATTAATATGATATAAATATAATATAAAATTAAAAAGTTTGAATATTTTTTAAACCACCCGTTTAGTAAACGAATAAACTCGACACAATACAATTAATAAGCGAATTAGATCTAGGTGAAACATATCAAAAAAAATACACGATACGACTTATTTATATACTGATTATATACGATTCATACACAACTCAATGTGACATAATTTATTATATAAGAATTAATAAATAAATCGGATATAAATAGAGTGTTTTTTGACACAAACTCACTTAGACTTGACACAAACTCTGACATGATTGACAGACCTATAACCACCCTATTGAAAGAAAGATTAATATCAATGATTAATATTATTTTGGGCCACTTTAGAAATGAAAAATATTTTAAATATAAATTTTAAACGTTTTGAAAAAGAATAAAAAATTTATAAATTTATTTTCAAATTATTCTCAACTATTGATCAAGATGTACCAAAAATATTTAAAAACATCTTGAAATATTACTTAAACATTAGTTAAAATATGTCGAAATACATCGAAACATTTTAAAACACTCGAAGCATTGAGGGGATGTGTTGTTTGATTTTTTATTTCTTATTTTGTGTCTTTGTTTTTAATTTTTGCTAGAAAAACAAACAAAAATGTGTTTGATAATTATTTTTGTTTTTGTTTCACCTCAGTTGTCTTGAAAACAAGCCAAAAAAAATGAAAAAGAAAAAAAAAGATGTTTCAAGAAACACCGGAAATAGAGACAACACGCGTAAAAGGGTGGAGAATTAATTAGATTTGGGCTTTGAGTTCTCTTAACAACAAAACAAAGCTTTTTTTTTTGTAGTATAAAAATCCATTTCATCACCTCTCTCCTCCCCCATCAGTTCTCTTTTTCTCTCTCCTCTTTTCTTTCTTTGTATCAGACCACTAGACAAATCATCGCTGCCTCACTCTCTCTATTGTGCTCTCTGTGCTCCTTGTGGAAGACGAACGAGCTTGGGGAAGACAATGGAGCTTTTTCTCTCTCTATCTCCCTAGACAATGTTCTTTGTGAAACCCACAAGACGATGATCTCTCTCTGTCTCGCTCTCGTTCTCTATGAAACCCAGAAGACGAAGACGCGCTCTATGTATATATGCAAATATATGCATAGATTTGTGCATATATACACAGATCTATGTGTGTGTATGTGTGTTATGTTATGTCTCTGTGTGCGTGTGTGTTGTGTTGAGTTTGTGTGTGTATGTGTTTATTGTGTTCATTCTATGTGTGTATTGTGTTCTTTGTGTGTATTGTGTTTGGGATTGATTGCCATTAAGTAATAATTGAATTATTATTTGAAATTGTTGAATTGTCATTTAGGATTGATTGAATTGTTATTTGACATTAAATTGTTATTTGGAATTGATTGAATTGTTATTTGGGATTGTATTGCTATTTAGAATTGATTGAATTGTCATTTGAGATTGTTGAATTACCATTTGTGATTGAATTGTCATTTGAGATTGTTAACCATATAATTAATTTATTAAATTAATTTAATTTGTTAAGTCTTAATCATTGTTGAAAAAAAAGAGAAATTTAGAGATCGGTCCCCCTATATGGACTTGTTTAGACTTAAGTCCGTCAAAGAAATTTATTTGTTATGAAGTCCGTTTTTTGTCAATTTTACCGTACTATCTTTTCCCTTTAAAAGTGAAATAAAATTAAAAATTTTTAAATCTTAGGAGTTTTGACTAATATTAAAATCTTTTTTCTCTCATATCTTTCTATATACATATATAGGTTAAAAGTTTGATTAACATTAAAATTTCTCTTCTCTCTTATCTATCTATATCCATATATAGGTTATATATATATATATAGAGAGAGAGAGAGAGTAACATTAAAAATAAAAAATAGTAACATTTTAATACAAAAAAAATATCATTTGGATACAAAAAATAATACATTTAAACACAAAAAAATAGTAACATTTAAACATAAAAAAAATTGAAACATTTAATATTAATATTTTAAAAAAATAGCAACAGTAACATGTTCAACAAAAATAGTAACATGCTTAACAAAAACTGTAACATACTTAACAATAATTATTTCTCTCAAATTCAAAGGCAAAAAAATAATACCATTCAAATACAAAAAATAGTAATATTCAAAAAAAATATATTAACATTGAATATTAATATTTAAGAAAATAATAGTAGTAACATACTCAACAAAAACAGTAACATGCTCAAAATAATAATAACATGAACAGTAACATACTCAACAAAAACAATAATATAAACAGTAATATAATAAAAAAAAATAGTAACATAAATTTGAATTTTATTATTTAAATTCATAGTAACATGCTAATGTAAACAATATTGTACAAAGTTTACCCCAAAAGATAGTAAAAAAGATAGCGACAGAAATGAAAAACAATACTGAATTTAAACTTGACAAATGAAAAACGATTTTATAATTCGCAAAGGTCTGTCTTTTTTGATTAAACATAAATATTGAATAACAATAAATTGTTAATAAAAAAAATAAAAAATTGAGCTTACTCTGTGGCATGTAGAGCGACCGATGCGTGAAAGTATCATTTTTCTGATAATATGAACATGAATTGGTTGGGGATTTTGAAAACCAAGAACTTCGACTCTAAGATCTCATTTGGTCGATCAGATTCAACTAAAGCTTGAATAAATTAATTTCAGATGTCACGGTGCAAAGCCAAAGGTATTTCTAGGTTTATAGGTGCTGAAATAGAAGAGAGAGAGAGAGCTCTTTAAATTTGAATTTTAAATTTATGATGAAAATTTTATTAGCATATTTTAATTGACATTAAATTAAGGGATAACAATTTTTAAAATAGGAAATTAATTTAACTTCCTTTCAAGAAAGGGTATTTTTGAGATAAAAAAAAAGTGGACTTAAATCATTGCATATAATTTTAAACATGAACTTAGTCCTTTATAAATTTTCTTGCAGAACTTATCTCCAAACAAGTACATCTAAGGAGACTCACTTCTAATTTTCACAAAAAAAAAAAAGAAGAGATTTAAGGATATAACTTAAAGTGGTTACCAGATATATTTTTTTGTTTTTATTCTCATAATTTGATAAACACAAATGATTTCTAAACATGTTTTATGTTTTAGTGTTTACCACATAACAAAGACAAAAATTGTCTCTGTTTTTTATTTTTTTGGAGACGCTAAAACAAAAACATTACCAAACAACCCTTAAAATTTTAAATCAATCACTAATTCGTTTCAATCTCTTTGAAAACGAAAACGTTTCAACTTCGAAATAAAATTTAATCCTTGATTAATATAACTCCATTTTGTGTTATATTATTGCAAGAAAATAGGTAATTATCCATGACATACCCAATTAATTGGGTTTGTTCTTTGGACCACCTCTTAACATTTCAAATATGGCACAAAGAAATTAATTGGCCTAGTCTTTTTAGTCACTCATAATTCTCTCAAGATTCTTTTACACTGGAGGTTAAGAGATCAATTCTAATCAAATATAAAAATTTAGAGAGTGATTTGCATGGTTCAAACTAATCACCAATCAATATGATTCAATTTTGAACTAATGGGAAGGGAAAAAAAATGAGGGAGGGAGGGAGAAAAATGAGGGGATAGTGTCAGGTTTGGTTGGGTGAATAAGGGTGAGGAGGAAGGGAGGGGGGAACTATAGGGTTATAGGTGTATCACTTGCGGCTAGAGAAAGAAAGAGAGAGACTCCATCAAAGTGGAAAGAGGCAGTTAAGGGAGATGAAGTATACAAAACAAAGGGCCCAAGAAGTACAAGAAGATGATATTGTTATAGTGTGTGTGAGAGAGAGAGAGAGAGACCCGGGGGGGATAGAAGAAAGCCTCCTTCAAAGTGGGAAGAGATAGTTGAGGGAGATGAAGAAGAAAGGGCCCAAGAATGACAAGAGAGAATGGCAAAAAGGAAGAAGGTTTGTGAGTTTCCCACCTTAGATGAGTGGATGAAAAAGGAAGTAATGACTTCTACTTCCTAGTTCCTCCTCAACATTCTTTTTTCATGCTACCTCAAGAGCTTCAAGTACCTTATTTCCATAGGGTGAGTAGTTTGTAAGAAAATGAATTAAGAGAGACCTCAATGCACTTGATTTCTCTTAGGATTATTGAAGCTCATTAAGAGAGATGGATCAAAAAAAACTCTAAGTGAGACTATTAGAAATGAGATATTCATGATCAAGAATGGATATGCCTAAATTCTATGTTCAAGTACTTTCAAGTTTCCCACCTCGATATAATAAGGATTGGGCCAACTAATTTGCATGAGGAAAAACCTCCGCACTGTGTGTAGGAATGACAATGAATTGGGCCAAGGAGAGTAATTTGTCCACTCTCATACCCACTTAAAAAAAGTTTGTTCACTCTCGGTCTACCCCCATTAGCGGAATAAGTTTTAATCTCCATTCCTGCCCCCCCCCTGGTTTTGATCCCCTTCCCTAGCCTTCACCTCCGGCCCTTCCCCCCACCTTTGCCCCATTACAATTAATTTATATAATTTTAAGAAAAAAATTAAAAAAAATCATAACAATTAAAGTACAAATTATATCAATGTGTGTATGTATCACATCATATGATCAAAACCAAAAATAAAGAAATAAGTTAACAACAAAATCCTTGCATAATTTAGCAAAAACTACAACAATAATAAAGATATATATATTTATGCCTCTCTTGACATCTTCATTCTCTTGAATTTGGGCTGAGTACTCCTAAATCCTAATAGAAATATTATATATAGGTATATGTAAATTTAACAGGTTTAACAGAGTGGGGCGGGGATAAGTTTTGATCCACCCCTGTATAGGTTTTATTAGTATTCTTGTATATGTCTACTATCCAATATGTATAATTTATCTTTGATCCAAACGGGATGAGTTTGAACGAATTCCCATTTTTCGTGTTCCACTTTCATCCCTAAGTGTGTGTGGTGTTTGCTTAATCCCTAAAGTTATGACATGAATCTAATGTGCCTTCATCTAAATTGTACTTTGATTTCATGGAAAAATAAAGTATTCTAACTTATCAGGATGTGATATGAGTAATTGTCTAGTCTGTCATATTACAATAAAAGTATTATCTTCTAAACTGGGTAAATTATTCTCTTTGGCATCTCAATCTCTCTCATAACTATTCTTGGAAAAGCTATCAAGTCTGTATTAAAACTCTATTGTGTGTTCAAAATTTTGTTCAATAAAACTATTTTCCTTGATTTAGAAAAGAGGAGGAGCTAGAAGAAGGAGAAGAACAAAAAGATGTAAGATTCCTAAAATACCACAACCAAGCTCATGGGGCGTATTAGCTATTCGGTGCAGGCCACCTTATAATGATAATTTTTTTTTTTCGGAAGGTTTATAATGATAAATTACACCTAAATTCTTTAAAGTTTGTCGATAAATCAAACGGATACCCTTAACATTAAAATTTACACCGTGATATCCTAAGTTTGGTTTTATATAACACTTAACTCCAACCATTACAACCTGTTAGAAAATTTGTAAAAATTTAATGACACACCATATTTTTATCATGATATTCTCAAATTGCCCATACAAGACCAAACACCAATTTCTGTAGTCAATCCCCAATTTGGTCAAAGAACTACTTCACACCATTTTTTTAGTCGTGGAAGTAGAGAGACAGAGAGGGGGGTTAAAGCTATAGATGAAGAGAAAGAGTATCATTGTAATTTTTGAATGGAGATTTGAGTAGAGTTAGAGTTTGGACTCGAGTTTGTGTTAGAGTTTGCCATTAGGGTAAAGGGTTAAGTGCGTTGACGTTTGATATTGTCATTATAGGGTATAATAGTTATTTTACAATTTTTGTTGAAATTTTTTTTGGGCAAGTGTTTTTGTTGGGGAATATTAGTTTACCTTTATTGATAGAGAATGTCATTGTAATTTTTAATACTAGAGTGGGTTCTTGTGATGTAGTAACAAACTTTGGGGCATATAAATATAATTTACCCTTTCATCAAAGAAATGGAACGTTGATCTCTTCAACTTTATGGGGTTGTTTGGTACGTGAGTGTGGGGGATTTTGGTAACATGGGTTGGAGAGAAAATCCGTTAAACTCATGTTTGACAACATGAAGTATGGATAAAATTTTAAATTCGGCCCAATTATGGTCCGGTCATAAAATTCACATACTATAATTTCATGAAACTTAAAGGGGTGGGTTTCACTTGTGAGTTTAGGGGTTTAGCATGTAAATGATATTTATATCCCTATATATCATATATATCTCATACATACAAATTAATTAAGGAACAAAAAAATTAAATATATTATTATAATAATAATATACTCTGCGCATACTAAACACGGGCATGAATAGCATTAACCCCTCAAACCCATCTTTAAATTCTATCTTTGGTTAAACCCGAGTTTCTAAACCCCTCGCAAAAAAAAAATACCAAACAAACCGTAAGTGTTGAAGTCGATTCCTAGAATCAAAACAAGATTAGGGTTTCAAAAATCACCATTTCCTAACCAGAGCACGTTCTTGTTGAAGATCAAACCCCCAAATCGAAACCCTCAATACAAGGTTCGGTTTCTCTTCATAAATTCGAATATTCGCTTCATTAAATCGTTTCAACAATTATATATTGATCTGAACTGCTCAACGTTCCTAAAATCTATTGCTTTTTGTGTGTGTCTTTAGGTTAAAGTATGGGGGCATTTATATCAAAGTTTTGGTTCATGATGTTTCCGGCGAAGGAATATAAGATTATAGTTGTTGGATTGAATAATGCTGGTAAAACGACGACGCTTTACAAATTGCATTTAGGAGAAGTTGTCACCACTCATCCTACAGTTGGAAGCAACGTTGAGGAGCTTGTTTACAAGAACATACGGTTCGAGGTGCGACAAATGTTAATATTGAGTTCTATTGTTTTGTTAGTATTGAATGGTAGTTGTTATTTTCTGATAAGTTTTTGCTGTCAAGAATTTTCTGTTGGTTTACTTGTAAAAGATTGTGTTTCCAAAGCTTGGTAATGATTGGTGGATTGTGATTTGATTTGGGATTTGGGTCTCATGTATGTCGATTGATGCTGGGATTTTTTTTGTTTTTATTTTTGGATTTTTCAGCTTGCGTCTTGATTTACTTAAATTACTAGTTAAATTATTCACGACCATTAGTTGTCAAAGCTGTCCAACCATCTGGGTGTGTTTGGTCACCACAAAATAAATTTTCATGAACTGTTGTCATTTTGTTTTTTTTTTTTCTTGTGCAATATGTGTAGCAGTTTGAAGGATTCAAGAACATGATGTGATGTGTAAGTGAATGTGGAATGAAAAATTTGTACTCTTTTTATTAAAATTTCCTATCTTATTCTTAGCTGGCTTGATACCATTGAGGCTTAGCTGGAGTTTGGAGTATTTGTTTCTGGGAATTCTTGGTAGCTTGTTATAGATTGTTAAAGGGTTGGGGTGGTTGATAGTTTATTTTATATGAATAATCGGAAATTTATGCATTCTTTTCAATACCATTGAAAAGCCTTACCTGGAATTTTGATATTTGAAATCGGAACATGGTCGACCAAATTAATGTGCTTTGGTTATTGTATGGAAATATAGCCATGACTTTAATTTCAAAAGCAAGAATGGTTGCCTTAGAAAAAAAGGATGACTAGTGATACGTGATATTGTATAAATCTACGTATTTTCTGTCTTTTTCCCTGAAAATTTGTAGGTCTATTACTAGTTTTTTTTTACACAGGTTGAATTAGTTTTATCTCCTGGCTTTTACCTGAATTTTTCTCCTAAAAAGTCTACCTTATTAGATATTAACCCCTTTTTTGTTTCTTTCAACGTATAATAAACACTTGAGAGGAGGAGAATATCTTTCACAACCCACTGTTCCAGAACGAAAGGTATCATGATCTAAGAGACATAAGTGGAATTTACTGGGTTATTATTTTATGTGTAAGTTGCTATGAAGAAAAAGGATGAGCAGAGGAAAAAGAGAAGGAAATCTACCGTTCTTTAGGAAATCTACCATAAATGTTCTTGTTTCAGGGCCTTACCCTGCCAACATTCTGGGAACATGCTCTTTGTTGTCTGCTAGACTGCTACCAGCCTACCATGAGTTCTGTAGGGCATCCTCAAGATATGTTTTCAGATCCCACAATGTAGTTACACCCATGATTGCTCAATGGAAATAAATTACCCTTCTTTTAATCCTATGTAGCATCTACCACTTTGATTGCTATTGCAGTCCCTTGAAAACTGACTGGTGAAGGGTGTCCAACCATTACCTTTGTTAATGGCTATTTAGTTAGGGTGTCTAGATATTGGTGCAGTTCCACGTTTCATCCTTCAAATTCGGTTTGCTGAGAAAATTCATGAAGTTCACTAAAAGAAGATGGAATTCATTTATTTATTTGGATGGGGAATTTTGGTAAAAGTTTTCAGTCAGAAATGTGGAGAGAGACCTACTGTTCTGATTATACTTGATTGCTTATTATCAAATTAGGACGTATATATCAGTGATCATTAGAGTTAAATTATATATGTGATATGTGAATTGGGTTTTATGCTGTGTTCGGAATTGGCACTGGTTGCCCCTTGTGGAATGTTGCGTGTTGATCTTCCTTGCCTTTTTTTCTCCCTTGATTCAGCTGTTAGATTGTTATCATCTCGTAGACAACAAAGGGTATATGGATATTATCAATGATGGCTGTCTTTATTTCCTCTCTATTCTCTCCACTCTAGCCTTGCCCTGTCCCGGGACACCCTTAGACTTGAGTTTGAGATACATGGAAAAGAGAGAGAATGCTTCCTTTTCTATAGAAAGACGAAACTAGGAATGAAACATGTCCATATTGCTAAATTAAGTTTCTATCTCTGTGATCAGTGGTACGGTTGAGCTGTTACATTGAGAAAAGTGTGTAAAGTCATGATTATGGCTGGGATCGTTTGTCCTCTATGGACTGAAGATGAGACCCACTTTATGTGAGGAAAGGATGGAGGCATATTGTCATACGAGTTTCTTTATTTATTTACGTTTTTAGGATCTTGCAGCTGTCTTGGAATCAAATTATAGGAAACTGACATATTTCTCTGTTTTTTTTTTTTGGGTAAGTTATGTAGAGATTATTGGCATGAAGTATGAGCCATCTTTCATCTTTTCTTCTGTTGTATGACTTCTACTGAAATTCTATCAGGTCTGGGATCTTGGTGGGCAAGAAAGACTCCGGACATCATGGGCAACATATTATCGCGGAACACATGCTGTCATTGTAGTGATAGACAGTACAGATAGAGCCAGGATCTCCCTGATGAAGGACGAACTCTTTAGGCTGCTACCTCATGAAGATCTTCAAAGCTCAGTTATACTTGTATTTGCAAACAAACAGGACCTCAAGGATGCCATGACTCCTGCTGAGATAACTGATGCACTTAACCTTCACAGCATTAAGGACCATGATTGGCATATCCAAGCCTGCTGTGCCCTTACCGGAGAAGGTTTGTACGATGGTTTGGGGTGGATTGCCCAGCATGTTACTGGGAAAGCACCAACCTAGAACTAAAATGATAGAAGACAAGGTTATTACACTGCCCTTGGGTTTGAGGCTTTTAAACAGGTGGTTATTCTGTGTACTATCTAACTATACGAGTGCTGTGGTTGAATGTATTGTCTCATTGTTCTCATTTTGATTTTGCTTATACAAGTCGTAATCTTCTGCACAACGTTGCATTTTATACCATTTTCTAGTGAGATGTATGGCTACAAACTACACCTAGCAATTTAAGACACGACTGCAGCCAGCCACTACATGCAATAGACTCGAATTTAACGAATTTGGATCGAGTCTTGACATGTTCGAGTGTTAAATAGTGAATTCGTTGGGTCTATCAAATAAATGAATCAATAAGTCTGTAAATGACACGAATTTGACACAATACAAAGTTGATTATATAAGATTATTATAAAAAAACTGAAAATAGATTTAATAAAATTTGACATGATATAATTTAAACGCGAAACGAGTCTACTTAAACACCATGCTTGCGCATGCTTTATAACTTTGTTCCTTTCTAATGGTTATGGATGAGTTTTCAACCATTAATTCTCTCTCCCCTTTTGAGGTGCTATGTAAGCACCTAATTCACTGTTCTACAATGCTGTGGCATTTTTTTGTCAAACGAATTTTGTCGCATGCTGGAAAAAAAATTGTTCTCATTCGTTTGTTTAGTAGAATAATGGTAAAAAATGTAAGAAAGAAAATAATTTTATAATTTTTATGTATTTGATTAACATGAAATGAAAATTGATGGAAAAAATAAATTTCTTTAGATTTTTTCATGACTAACCAATTTTTTTCTCTTATAAGGAAATGCAAAAAAAATTGTGATTTATAGCTAACTTCTCATTTTACTCTTATTTTTCTTAAAATATTTTATTATTTATTAATTTTAAAAATTTTTGATATGAATTTAATTAATCATATAATTTGGCCCAAAAACCTTTGTGTTGGTGATTGTCTTAGAATTAGGTTTCGAGTCACTTTTTAAAAAAAAGTTAATGTTCAATTGTAATTATATATTTTTTTTCTTTTCAAACCAATTTAATATAATTAAGGGTAATTTAAACAATTATAAAAAATTTCTTATAACTTTACTTTTTTTCAAACAATAAAATAATTTTTTTAAAAAATTTACCTGTAAATTTTTTATTCTAACTAAATATATGCATGAAAATATATTTTTTATTATTTTTTTTTCTTTCACCTCATTTTCTATCATTTTCACTTTCCATCATTTTTTTCTTCCTAATCAAACAGATCCTTATAAAAAACACAAGAAAAATATAAGAAAATTGTGATTTATACTTAATTATGAAGCACGAATACTTCGTCAAGATCGACGTACATGTATCGAATACCGTATTGGATATAATACTCGTTAGATACTCGAAGATATGTATCAGATATGTATTATCCGTATCCGATAATTAATAAAATATATGGATACTTCGCAGATACTTTTAAACATGAAATAAGATGTACAATTTTGAATTTTAAGTTATACTCCTTATTTGGAGTTCACATAAAATATAAAACATCAACAAAATTTCATCTGATTTTGAAGACACGAATGTTTTTTTAAGTATTATCTATTATTACATGTTAAGAGAATATAAAAAAAATGAGTCACTTACACTATACTTTTAAAAATAAACACTTGTAAAACCAACTAGTTAAATATGATTATGATTCTTTCAATTAGTCATGCTCATTTTATGAACATATCATAATGAGACGAAATTACATCCTTTTCATGGTAAAAATTACTAATTTTACTTACTAATGTTAAAGAATTATTGAAAAATTGTAATTTATAAGTGTTTAAATAATAGTAAAATATAAAATATATTTTATTATAGACGTATCCTAACCGTATCCGTATCCTATTTTTTAAGTTTTGTGATATTATCATATCCGTATCGTATACCTTTACTAATATACAAATTGTATATATACATATATATATATTACGTTTGTGATCATTTTCTATTATCTGAAGTTATATATAACTATACCTACTTATTCACATAGTTAATTAGTTTTTTTTTTAAATTATTTGTAATATGATTTCAAGTTGAATTAATTTAGGTTACGGTTACAATTTAGGGTCAGAAATTTAAGTGATTTAGATTGCGAACCATCTCTTTTGGGGTCGTTGCACCGATATCATTGGTTCTCTTGGGTTGATCAATTTTGGTAATCTTCAGTAGCACTTGGACATATGTTAAAGATTCTGTACTAAAAACATGGGTTGATAGAGTTATATATGGTTGTACCCATGTCACATATTTGTATCCGTGCTTGCTAGATACTTAACTTTCCATTTTACTCTTATTTTGTTTAAATATTTTATTAGTTATTAATTATAAAAAATCTTATTATGAATTTAATTAATCATATAATTTAATTCAAAAACCTTCGTATTGATTTTTATCTCAAAATTAAGTTAAGAGCCACTTTTTAAAAAAAAATTAACTTTTAATTATAATAAATATTTTTTTCCTTCTTTAGACCACTTTAATATAATTAAAAAAAATTTAAACAATTAGAAATCTTTTTTATAACTTTCCTTCTTTTAAAACAATAGAATAGAAAAAAATTTAAAACTTTCTCGCAAATTTTCTTGCTAATCAAATTCATGGATAAAAATATATTTTCTTTCATTTTCTTTTCTTTCATATCAATTTCTATAATTTTCACGCTCCATCATTCTTTCCTTCTTAATCAACCAGACCCGCAAAGAGACCTGAAAAGGAGGAATTACACTATCCCCCTTTATAGTTTGGGCCAAAAAGTCTAACCGTATGTTTTTAAAGGATTGTTACAGAAACACATCTCTGGTATCACTTTCCACAACTTGCTGTTTCTCATTTGAACCTTCCTTTAAAAAAACTGTTTACTTCTACACAATGTCACATAGCATTGAATGATAACAAAACTAACCCAGAAACACAGACAAGTTGTTCGTTTCGATTCGATATAAAGGAAAAACAATATATAATTTTCTGCACAATGGAGCATTTCATTTGACACTTCCAAGAACAATGTACCGCATTCTATTTGTGACATGTTGTAAAGGTACCAAATCTCGAAAACTCTAGGAAGAAATGGAGCAATTGTTGAAATTAGCATGAATCATCACAGTATCCAGCACCTGCAACCTGATGAATCTTGTGGTCCTTCAAACCATCGATCCCAGGATGGATTTATAGGGCCATTTGTTCTGCCAAAGTAAAATAAACGAATCACTCCTCGAATAAAGATTGATAACTATGAAGCATTGCATAAATGAGCAAGAGGTATATTACACTGGGAGTAGCGGATCTGGTCTTGATTCCACATTACTCAGCATTCTAGGCGCCAAACCATCATAACATCCAATTAGAAGATCGATACAGTCCCAGAGTTATAAATTAATGGAAGTTAAATAGTAAATTAATATATGGAATAAATATATTCTCATACTTACTCATTGCAAGCAGCGGAGGCAGCCTCCATTTTCTCAAGCTGTTCCAGCTCTTCCTGTGTATTAGATGCAACAGAATGAAATATAATACTGAATGAATAACAGCAACAAATGACAATGAAAAGGAGATTTAGCAGTTCAGGTCTCATGTAAATTCATCACAACAATAAGAAGGAATTCTTTCAGATTCAGTGATTCATGTGGTCCTGACAAACAGTAGTCCAAAAACTGAAGCCAGCGTTATTTAAAATGAGATACAGCTCAGGAACCATCAAATCACCCCATTTGGAACCTTTTCTCAAGTTACTCTAAATGAATAATGAAATGATGATTATTGACACTTACTATCAATGGATTTCAGAACTGAATTTAATGTTAAAAATGACATTGTATTAAGGAAATATTACATGTCCTCTCAATAAAATATTTGGAGAAAATAGAGGTACAACCAGCTGGAGTGTATCTTGTATCGATTTTGTGATAGGGTGCCTTACAGAGCAGGACCCAAAGGAAGAGGTGGTTAATATCACCAGATTCGTTCATAAGTATACACTAATGTATCAGAAAGACTAGCTAACAATCTTCAATTTACCCGACCAAAAATATTAAAGTTAAACCCAGACGAGAAGCAATTTAAAGTAAACTGGAAAAGGAGTGATGCTAAGAGATTATAGCCTAGGAGTAAATTTTTAAAAACCACATTAGCCAGAAACTTTCACCTAATTTACTAAAATTAAACATTCTTGCATCCTAGCTTTGGCAGGATGAATAGCTCTTATTAACTTATGGAGTCAAATGCATCAGATTCTGTGTGAGGCCAACAATTGTTGAAACATCTCGCCAAGATCCAGACCCAAGTCAAACATCAGCTTGCTGATCATCCTAATAAAGGAGCAAGCTAGCTTATGTCATTCCCCAATGAAAACTGTATCACCAGTTCAACAATCTTTTTCATCATGAAACCATTCCCACCGTCACCCACCACAAAAGGAAAAAAAAAAAAGCTCGCCACTGGAAAAAGGAAAAAGAAGGGAGGAAAAAGTTCCAGGAGTTCCTCTCATGAGTTTCCCTACTGCTTCAAGAAAGGAATGCATTGTCCACAGCAAAGATGTTCACATTCCACATCATTCCATTTCAGCTACGAAGGTTCTTCCAGACCTCTGAACTCTACATTTATAGAGACTTATCTGAATAAGGAGTCAAAGTGACCAATCTCAGGCAGTGAAGCTTTCTAGGGGGAAGCAGACAGGATACTACAACGGGAAATAATGTTCGCCTATCTTCTTTTGTATACCCTATTAAATTATGGGTACCATCACTCAGTGGCTAAATGTCCGTTACTTCTTGAACATCTCAATAATTTGGATATAAATATATGGGAAAACAACCAATAAGTCCTACTTTTCCTCTTAAAATGCCATTAACTCCTATGAAACATAGAGTATGGAATTAAATCTTATATTTACACACTTCAATAAAGTCCTAATTTATATAGTCCTTTCCCACTCTATCTGCATGCTTCATACATAAAAAGCAACTAAACGTAACGGGAAGGAAGAGTTTCCTTTCACATCTTCTCATGTATTTCACACAATCAAGATATTTTGTGCACATACATCATTTAATAACATACATGCAGATAAATTAAATAGTGACACACAAGTGAATGGATTCCCAGGAAATGATATGTCC